ATAATTAATTATATATAATATTAATTTTAGAGAGAGAGTGAAAGAGTCAAATTTCTGCCCCCAAATGTCCTTTGTTATGGGTGCATCCACTGGAGCCTGGTTAACCTGACAAGAGTCTCACCCTCAAAGGATACTGATTCTGCCCCTCCCAGCAGTCATCAGTTGCCAAGAGTTCTTCAGGTAGGGTTGAGGTTTCTTAACCACTTCTCCACATCTATGCTGGGATTTTGTCTGGTTTGAACTTACCTCAGCCTACGTATGCTCACACCATTGCTGTGAGTTCATAAGAGTTACCTGCCCAGCTGTCTGGAAAACTCTCCTTCCTTGTGGTCATCCACCACCTCTGGATCTCACAATCTTTCTGGCCCCCTTTCACAATGATCTCTAAGCTGTGGAGGCAGAAGTGTGATATAAATGTCTATTCAGGGATAAACACTCCTCAGTCTCTTTATATTCATATTGGACACTTGTGGGTCTCTGCATTAATCACCACCTGCTGCAGTAAGAAGCTACTCTACTGAAAGTTGATAGATGCATTAATCTATGGGTATGACATTAAGTCATGAGAAATCAGTTTAACACCGTATCAGTTTAGCAGAATAATAGCACCATCCCTGAACTCAAATTATACAACTGAGATATAATAATAAAAACATCACAGTACTGGAATAAAAACAGACACAGTGATCAGTGGGAATGACCTGAGGACCCAGATTTAAATCCACACATCTACAGCCACCTGATTTTTGTCAAATTTTATTTTTGGAAAGAGCGTTCTTGGTTAATGTTCCACACTTCAACTAAATGATATAAAACATCTGGGTGAATCTCTTTTGGGGATGTTAGCAGCCATTGAAAATGAATGCTTCCACATGTCAAACAGCAAACACAAAAGTGGTGACTACAAAGTGCTTATATTTTCATTTATTATGCCTTCTTCATTTATTGGCTTGAGAGAAAAAAGACATTGCCTTCCACTCTTTGGTTACTCTGAAGTACAGTTCATGTGGGAAATTTCAAATAAATTTAGATTCTTCCCTTTTATTCCTAAGTATCAGGGTAACAACTGGTCCCTTAACATCCTCCAAATGTGGCCAAGAAAGTGACTGCTTGTTATTGTTATTGTTGCTGCTGCTATTTTTTTATTGTTTTAATGGTATCACTTTCACCACATGCATGTAAGTATATCCATTTATTTCAACACATTGTAGTTATTTCTTTAGTAATATTAAAAATGTTCCCTCTTTGGCAGTGGGAGATTCCTTTTTGTTTTTTTTGTGCTCATTGCTTATTATAATTATTAATGCATAATAATAGTAGATCCTTTAAATTGGTTCCTGAGTACTTATAATCCAATCCTAGTGAGCAATGTTCATATCCTTACTTTATAGTATGAATAATTCCAGATTCATTTTGTATAGGGTCCGCCATGGTCATGGGAATTGGACATTTTTTTAAGTTCATGGATGCATTGCTAGTAAGTCAGTTGACTTAACAGTTTTTCTTCCATGTTATTAAAATTAATTTCTGGGTCCCTGATAACAGAATCAGTATAGTGGGTTATATCTGTGTGTACATTGATAGAGAAATAAATAAATAAATAAATAAATACGAAGAACTCTTTGTATTTTCTGCTGTGATATGATGAAAGGATAACTCTTTTATGGTTCCAAAGAAAAGGTTCAAGGGGTTCATGGCACAGTGGTTACTGGCTACTCTTGTAAAGGACACAGGTCTGATTCCTAGCACTCACATGGCAAGTAACAACCATTTGTAACTCCAGTTCCTGGGTATCCAATCCCCTCTTCTGACCTCCGTGGGCAGTGTATGACATGGGTGCCTTTCTGCACATCCAGGTAATACCCTCATATGCATAAAATAAAAATAATAAAATTTTTTAAAAGGTTCAAAGTCTGGATACTTTTGTGTGACATTATGCAGGTCACTCCACCACTTGGAGTCATCTATACATTCCAAAGGGATTTATTTAATAGTCAGAAGGACGTTAGATAAACATGGACAATGAATGACTATTGCAAGTGCCAAAGGCAGCACAGGCTGTTTCCCCCTTTGGGTCTTCAGTGATCCACCTCTCCACAATCACAAACCTCCTAACAGTCACTGTTCTTTGTAAACAATCTTTGACATAGATGTAGATTTTTTTTTTTCTGGAGACTTGAGTTCACACCTAGTTCCAAGCCAGACTGAACAGCTTAGTGAGACCCTAACTCAAAACAATGAAGATCAGGGAGCCAGCTCAGTGGGAAAGCAGTTGTTTAGTTTGTATGAATCCTGATACTCCATCCCCAAAACTGGAAAAAATATTTTCAAATGAGACACACAAAGATCATGAAATATCAAAACCACTTATATCAGTAACTGAAAATGCAGAGTATAAAAATATGCATGTATTATGATTACAATGATATAAATATCATATTTATAAGAAATACTAAAAAGAATGCAACAAAAGTTGCTACTGTATATTATAGTGTCTAGTGGTGACTTTCTTTATTATTTTTTCAATTTTATAAATTTTCTGTAATGTAACATCATTTTTATATGAAAAATAATTTTCTTAAAAAATATTACTCATATATCTCATTGGTAATACTATGAAAGTTTCTTTTTCCTTGTATTTTGCACTTGGAAGTTAAACCTTAAGAATACCAGTGACCTCCGACAAATAAGAATCAGAGCTGAAAAGAGTCAAAAAAGAGAGGGTGAAGACAGAAGGAATCAACTTCCATTCCTTCTTTATTAGCATCACTATTTTTAGTTTATCTTCCAGTGAAATTATGTTTATGGAGAGGAAATACTATCCAACGACTGTATCTCTCAAGATCACAACACAAGGCATAAGTGATTCTACACAGATCCTGGATGCAGAAGAAGGAACTTGTCCAAGACAGTGTTATCATTAGCTTTGCTCCTGTTTTGGTGATCAACAGATTATTGTGGATCAGCAGCAGGTAATAAGAGTCCCAAAATGCAAGGTATATGTTATTGCATTTACTTCTCAAAATATTTTACAGAAGCAAAAATTGTATTACCAAATTTTAGATGACAAACAGGTTCAAAGTGACTCTAAATCCAAACATACTACTCACAATTCGTATGGGAGAGGAGATGGAGGAGAAAATAACTAATTTTTCTTAAAGATTTCCTTTTAAAAGCACTTCTAGACTCCTTAAATGCCATTTGATAAATTTCTTTCATTACAAATATTTCCACCCACAAAAGTCACCAGCTGAATTTTGTCAACATTGCGGCAGCTTTCGTATCTACAACATTATCACCCTTCCAACCCTTTGCAGTTCTCAGACTAGCAGGGTCTGTGAAGGAAGAAGGTAATGATCAAGAGGCGCCGTACTGAATGCCTTTCAATGTGATGCCTTTGCAGTGAGCTGAGAGCAGCTCCCTGGACCCTCGTGAGAAGCCGCATCAGGAAGAGTTTTATACGCACTGAGCTGAGTGGTAAAGCAGAAGCCCAGATGATGCTGAGGCTGGAACAGGAGAAACTGCATTTCACCTTCTGTGACGGATGAGGTGACCAGGTCATGCCTGAGGTGACCCTTTCTGTTGTATCAGGTGATTACTTAGAAATCTGCCTTTAAATAAACTGCGACCTAGAAAATATCCTTGAAATCAATAACTTAACTCTCAGATGTATACTTTCACACATGTACAATTATAAAGACTATAATATACTAGCTTTGATTTGAATATAATTTAAATACTCTAGTAAGGAAGCAACATATATCAACCTCAACATAGTCTGAGTTCTGATTTCTAACCAAAGTTGTGACAAATAAAGTAATAGGTTACTATTTATGTTGTAAAACATATGTTTGCTTCCAGTACCTCTCAGAGGAACTTGTATGGAGAAAAAGGAAATTATTGTAAATTCCAATTGTTCCCTAACAGTGTACTCTAGGAGCCACACAATTCCCTTTAAACTCAGTTATGCCACCACTTAATGCTTTGATAACCTGCTAAAACCATCAGATACAGTGTCACTGGTGAGCTGGAGAGAGGGGGAACTGCAGAGCGGCCATCTGCCTTCTTCATTTCTCTGCAATCAGCCCCTTCATATCCCTGATAACAATGACAGAAAAATTTCTCTGCCATCACAGCTAGGTCGGCATCAGACGCTCTGCCCTTCACATTGAATCCCCCATCCTCATTGGCCTCTATGTGGTAGCTTGCAGGGTTCAAGTGGAGGTAATCTGGAGCTTTCCACATCTTCCTTATGCACCTCCCATTATTTCTGCAGAGGTGACGGCTACAGACCTCAGCCGCTCTGGTCACATTGACTATGTAGCTCCCAAAATCAGAACTCACGAAGTTCTTCACCTTTGTACAATTGGCCTAGAAAGGTACAAATAAATAGACTTTAGTATATCTCCTGCTTAGAGATTTTAGACCCAGGAGGCAGCTCTTTAGACTTGAAACTGGATGTCAGCTCTTGAAACTGGATGACTTCCTTCTAGTTAAATTCTTAGGCTCTACTATACACTGAGGTCCCAGGTGGGAAATGAGAAAGGTTCTAGAAGCAGGAGATGTTACGGTACAGCAAAGGAACTGAACCTACAAACAGGCCTGAGTCAACATGTAGTTCAGTGTTACCATGCCAACATTGCAGTTATGCCTGAGTAAGTAGTCTGACTCTTAACTACAGTTCTAAGAATGGGCTCAAACTCAGAGGGCACCCACTGTTCTGTTCTAGCTGTGTCCTGGAGCTGTACTGCTAAGCCAGGCTAACCTGAATTTAATTCAAAACCATTTTCCGTCTTCAACTGGAGAGCTACAAGCTTGGATCCACCCTTATGTTATCAGACAATCTTGCCCTTTCATCCCTAGGCCTAAAACATCTCTACACACAATGTCAATCATTCTTCTCAGTGTTCATTGTTTTCAAGGAAGATATTAATATGAACGCTGCCTTTCCGTGCTTCTATTTCTTAATTCACAAGAATACACACATTCATTCACTATCTGTGAATGACAATTGAGGTTCAGAGGGATCAAGGTCAAGCGTCCAGGTCACAAGAGCACATGGATCAGTGGGCTTGTTAGCAGTAGTTTCTTGGTTGCAGGGATAATTAAAAGTCATTGGTCCAGATACTGCGCATTGTGTAAAAATCATTCCTAAATGTAGGTCCATTACTTTAATTCACACATTGTTCTTCTTCTTCTTTTAGCTTTCAAAGTAGTGAGTATAGAAAGGAACAAACAAACTAGAAAACATGCTAGAGCTCCTCCCCCAGGTGACCTTTTAGGTGTGTGTTGCTCTTCCTGGTTGTGTTAGAATCTGAGTTGTCCATATTCCACTTATTATAGACCCTATCACCAGTAGCATCCTGGATTTCCCTGTTAATCATTCCTAAACTTCATCTGTTCTGGGCTCTACACACAAATAAAACACAGTAAAGTTTATAAATATAAGTAATTTGTGTGTGTGTGTGTGTGTGCGTCTGTCTGTCTGTCTGTCTGTGTCTGTGTGTGTGTGTATTTCCTGGAATGTATTCTACATAACCGTTACCTAGTTTTCCTACACCATTTCCTGATGAAACTCTTTCTCATGAGCTTTCAGTCAGCAGCTGAGACTCTCATTCTCTGTGTGATTCTCATACATGAGCATAATTCTAAGTATTTTCATGAATGATGTCTTTGTAGCAACAAATTGAGCCAGTTCTAAAAGCAATGAATGATTATCATGGACTTTTAAAATTTTTTCAATTTAATCAAAAGTGTTGAGGATACAATTATAATTTCATGTAAAATGCATTATATTAATACTTCAGAGATTTAAAAAAAGGACGCCTGAAAATATAGAAGAGACTGTAACTAATGTGGATTGATAAAAACTAGGAATATTTCTTGGACTAAAAACTATTTCGGCTGGAGGAAATTTGAAAATACATACATCTGAGTCTTATTTTAAATGCTATTCATTTCCATCTGATTTCTCTGTAGAGAAAAAAAATAATAATTGAAATGGCAAAACTAAAGCGTTAGCATCTATTTCTATTTCTGGAAATAAGCTAAACTTTTCACACAGTGGTTCAATGGAAGGGGTCCAGCCTCAAAATATCTGTGGTTAATACCAATCCTATAACAAACTAGTCTAACTAACTGGTTGCCCTGTTTAAATTACCTCCTTTTTTTTCCTTGTCTACTAAGGAGACGATGTTAGTAGCTGACATGACCAACATGTGAGTTGACCCAAAAGGAAGAAAAAATCTCTTAACTATTCTCTTATTGCATAATAAATATTCAGCAAATATCAGTGTTACAATTGCCATCTTTTAAAAAATTAACAGTTTTGGCCTCATCTAAATACTAGACACTGCTTTAGACTTTTATCCTAAATCTGTCTTGCTACAGCAATAATAATGCTTCAGTTAGAGTGAGATTTACAGGAAAACAGAGCAAATACCTTAAAGAATATTAAATATATCCTCAAGGTACTGACTCACCTCAGATGAAGTTAAATTCATGTCTCCCCAAACAACAATGCCTGCAGCTCCCAAAGCAGCACTTTCTCCTATGGTACTAATCAGATCTTGCTAGATGAAAGAGAACACAGTTCATTATTCATCTGAGCATAAATCAACTCAGCAGAAATTAAGATTAGAGACTGAACTAATACACTCCACAGACATTATTCTTCACTTTCCTAGAGTAGCATACAGATGAAATGAACTAATGCCCACAGTCACACTCTCTGACCATATTTTTTCAAGAAAACTATCATTTTGACAGTCAAGGTATTATTTTGTTCTGTTTTTCTCTTTCTGTTTGTTTCTTGATTGATTGCTTGCTTGCTTGATTTTTGACAGGGTCTTCCTTGTCACAGGCCACCTGGAAGTCAAGATGTGGACCAGGGTGGCCTCAGTCTCATGAGATCCATCTAAATCTGCCTCCCTAGTGCTTGCAGAGCCACCAACATGTCCAGCATCAGAGTATTATTTTGAAGACTATTAGTCTATAAATAGTCACAAAGGTTGTTTCTTTGAAGTTGATTGGGAACGTTCACTCACAAGCTAGCTACATGTATAAATGCATAAACAGAATCCAAAAGTTCTCCTTTCCCAAAGAAAGCCTCTTAGCTTCCTTTTCCATCTTACCATTACCTCTGTGGAACACCACCTCCACAGTGACTCACATGGCTTGTGCCATTCTGAATTCAAAGCCAGGCAAGGAGACAGTGTTAATGGTGTTTGAGGCTCTGACTTTGCCCAGCTTTTATGTTTTCTCATGAAATCACCTATATTTAATTTCAATTTAGTAGATTTATTGGACTTTATTTATGACTCATCTAGCAATGAAAAGTCCACCAGAATTTTTTTTTCAATATACTTAAAATAGAGGAAATCAAGGTTTCAGCAAGAGTATTTTGGTTTTTCTCAGCATTAAGGAATATTATTTTATGATACCAAATGCTGGCTAGGATTTGGAAAAAGGGGAACACTCATTCACTGCTGGTAGAATTGCAAACTTGTGCAACCCCTTTGGAAAACAGTGTGGCGAACTCTTAAAAAACTAAAAATGAAACTACCATATGACACAGTTATACTACTCCTTGGCATATACCCAAAGGACTCATCCTATTGCAGAGACATTTGTACATCCATGTTTGGTGCTACTCTTTTCACAATAGCTAAGAGATGGAAGCAACCTAAGTGCCCCTCAACTGATGAGTGGTTAACAAAAATGTACATTTACACAATGGAGTTCTATCTAGCAGTAAAGAAAGTTGAAATAATGAAATTTTCAAGTAAATGGATGGATGTAGAAACTCTTATACTAAGTGAAGTAACACAGATCAGAAAAATGAAAGACGTATGTTCTCCCTCATCTGTGGATCCCAGTACTAAATCCTTACAAGTAAGTGCATATCCTGAAGCAACGCAAGACCAGGAATATGGAAGGAAAATGGGGAGATAAAGAGAAAGAAGGAACCCAAGACAGACGCTTAGTAGGATAAAGGTGTTATTAATGGAGAAATATGCAAAAAGAGGGTAGTTAAAGGGGGGAGGAGAACTATACAAAGAAATGGGAACAAAAGGGGGGAAAATTCTCCAGATACACAGTTAAAAATAAGAAACGTAAGCACAGAAGGAACCCCTACGGGGATGGAAGAAAGCCTTTCCAAAAGCAATACAGTTGTTAAACGAAAATCCCAGTGCCAGAAGTGGGTTGTCCTCTATGAGCTGTTAGTTTTAGGGATGCTCAAGGTCCCCAAAACAATAAAGGCCTTTGTCAATAATGTTGGTTGTACACCAGAAGTGGACAGAAAAACCCTATTGCTGAAGACACTGCAAGATATGAGCATGAGAGAGGGAGATATTAAGCTTGGACTACACTGGAAGCTCCCTACCACTGGATTGGTGGCTTTCATGGTGCCAAAAGGCAACATGCAGATGATTGGGGGAGAATAGTCCTCTATAATTCTCCTCAACAACAGGCCCTCACGTGTTGCACTGCCAAGGTGTTCCTGCTGGTGCAATAGTGGTGCAAATTTTCGATTGGGTATAATGCCCACTCCTAAGGGTGGAATACACATCTGGTAATGTAAACCTGGCCAAACCCCTGTGGCAGGGGAGAATACAGGCCCCAGTGGGAAGTCACTGCAGTTGCTTTGTTAGATGGAAATAATGTACCTGATAAAGTCCTGACCAAGCATTTGTGTTTACAGCCATAGGTTAAGTTATTATAGCAATCACCATTTAGATATTCTTGCTTCTTGCTGTATGTGTGTTTATAGTAGATGGAATCCCACTCAAAATGGCCAACAGCCCATGGAAAACAGATGACTCAGAGACCCAAAAGTTCAGTGTCATGCCACAAAAGGAGGACGATCATCCCACACCTACCACCCCCTCCAAGGCTCAGGGACTTTTGCAGAAGAGATTGGGAGAAACAATGTAAGAGCCAGAGGAAGGGGTGGGGTGTGAACTGGAAGTGTCCTCTGATCACTGTGCTGGCAAGTTATAGTCACACCTCCTTCCAATTCTCATCAAGGCGTCGAGGGAGGAGTCAGTTACCCTCCCACCCAATCTGCATGTGGGAGGAGGGGCAAAGTATATATAAGATGAGAACACCAAGAGGCACCTATCTCACAATTTTGTGTGGCTGTCAGGAGGTCACAGGATCTGTATTTGAGTGTGGACTTCACAGCACAGCCATAAATGTGGGGTGCCCAATCTTCTGTTAATAAATCACTACCTTATGCTCTGTTTAAAAAAAAACAAATAAATAAAAACATTATTTTGAGATTTTAAATATGAACATGGACAGATGTTATTGGTTTACTAGTTTATTAAATTATAGTATAACATATATGAACATATGTTCATATATAACATATATGAACATGGACAGATGTTATTGGTTTACTAGTTTATTAAATTATAGTATAATCTCCCTCTCTTCAGGACAATAAAGGATATCTTTTTCTCCAAAGATAGATGTCCATATTCAGTATTAGAAAATGGTGACTTAGAGGAAAACACAAGCAAACTATTAAATCTTCTTTGCCTTGGCCATTTTATCGTAATATCAGTATTTGAGAGATGAATCCAGTCTGACACATGTATAGCCCACCAGTCAAACTAAAGGTTTCACAATGTAGAATTCTAAACACTTTCATGCACATTGTCCTGGAGAGTTTCAAAAAGTGAAGAGGTATGTTTGAACTGATTTTCCTTTCTGTTTTATATTCATTTCCATTTTCCAAGACCACAGTATCAGTTCAACAGAACAGAGTCCACATACAAAGAGGGGTGGCCTAATAGGTCTCAAATGTGATTATATGGATGGAAAGAGTTTGAAAACTGTCAACAGTCTAATGAACAGAAGCAGAGTAAGAAACACATCATTGATTCAAAGATAAGAATGAGCAAAATATCTCAAGCCATGGACTTTGAAACATCCATGAGTACAAGATGACAGTCACATGGTATGAGCAGAGGGGCAGCAGTGTCTAACAGCCTTCTTAGGGTTAAGGCTTTGTCATCAAAGGAAGAATGAAATATAGCATTTACATTTTGTATTCTTATCTTATTTGATCCATATTGACTAAACATGGAAGCTACAGATATATGTGGTGATAGCCATACAGTCTTACTTTCTGGGTTATGTTAGATTCTTTTCAATGCAAATTTTTTTAGTGTCATTATCAGACACAAATAGCAACTCTTAAGGAAACAGGAGCAGATAATAAAGAAATTGTATCATTGGATTAGTTCACTGACAACTTGGAGAGTTCAGGACAATAACTGAATCACAACCAGCTATTGTTTGGGAATCAGAAAAGCAAGGACACTAAGCTGTTACCGAAGTCATACAGAAAATGCTTTAGTACTAGGTGGGACCATCTAAAAGCATGAACCACATAGATGGTGTTACATAAAATGAGAAGTAAAGTGTGGTAGTTTGAATGAATGTCCCCAGTAGGCTCAAGTATTTGAACACTTGCTCAGTTGGTGGCACTGCTTGTGGTGGGTCATGGAACCCTCAGAAGGCATGCTTTCGCAGGAAGAAGCATATTACTGAGTGCAGACTTTGAGAGTTCATAAGCCTTGCCCCACTTCAGTTCACTCTCTCTGCTTCCTGTGTCTCCTTGAAGATGGGAGTACTCAGCTTTATGCTCCTCCCACCTCCTGTCATGCCTCCCTGCCATGATGGACTCTGATCCCTCTGGAACTGGAAGCCCAATAAACTCTTCCTTCTATAAGTTGCCTTGTCCATGGTGTTTTATCACAGCAACAGAAAAGTAACTAGCACATAAGGCAACAAAGCAGCTGTTGTAAAAGTGTCCCATGGCTGCCTTGCTTGCCCATGATGTTCAGACTCAATATTTCAGAAGTTTATGGTAGGAATTTGGTTACAGGGCATACAGAATCAATCTGGAATCTGAAAACTTCCTCTCTGCTAGTTAGCTTTCACAGTGCCAGAAAGACCATACAGGAAACTGGGGGAGAAATGACATCAATGGTTTGACCCAGCATTAGACAATGCATGTTACAATATTGACTTGCCAAGCATGATGTGACCAATGGTGCAATAGTGGCATGAGTGTAATGGGTGTTGCCAACCATTTTCTGTTTGGATTTGAGGCCAGCTCCATAGGAGGGAATTCATGCCTTGTTCTATAAAACTGTTCAAAAGTTCATGCCTGGGAAGATCATAAGCCCTAGAAGAAAATCTATTATTGTTTTGTTAAACAATCATCTTATCAAACTGCCTTCTAAATACTTAGGCTTGCACCCATATATTTGTGCTATACTAAACTTTAGTCAAGGAAGCACCAATGAATGGTCCCATTACCATACACATATAGGCAGAAGTAATTGGACTCTGTGGGTTGGAAGAAGAAGGAGGAGGAGGGGGAGGAGGGGGAGGAGAAGAAGAAGAGGAGGAGGAGGAGGAGGAGAGGGAGGCGAAGTGAAGGGGGAGGAGGAAGAGAAAGAGCAGGAGGAAGAGGAGGAGGAGGGGAGGAGGAGGAAGAGGAAGAGGAAGATAGAGGAGTCTGAGAGGGGAGTTAGAGGTGGATATGATCAAAATACACTGTAAACATGTAAGAAAACAAGAAGTTGAAGATTGGGATACCTAGAGGACTCATCCTCCAAATTGAAATTTTTGTCTGGAACTTAAAAAGTGTTCGTAGTGCCCCATTACCCCAGTTCTCCCCCAGTGCCTCCCAACTCCCCCAATCTTTCCTTTCCTGACTTCCCTCACTAAAGCCAGGGCTGGTTGAGGAACATAAGGAGGTGGAGGCTTCCTGGTCACTGGAGGCTTGCTCATGTGAGCCTGGAGAAGCAGTGGCACCAAATGTGGGGATCCACGTCAGTTCAATCAAACAAGGGCCCAAAGGGGAGGTGAGAAATAGGTGACAGGCCAGCACTAGATTGAAACTGTTTGAGATTGACTGCTGCTGGGTGAGGGAGAGTATGACTTACATACAACCACTGGATGGGCTGATTAGACTCCAGTGGATGCATTTACACTGAAGGACATTTGGGTACAAACACCTGAATAAATAGGACTCGGCGTGTATGTCAGAGTAAATAGGGTTCAGTGTGTGTGGGGAGAGAGAGGGAAGCATGGATGGGGAAGGGGGTCTGGATTTGAGTTGGAAATGTATGAAATTTTAAAATCTCTATAAAAAATTAAAATTAATTTTTTAAGTGGCCATTCTAGAAAATTGTTTACTGGTGGGAGCCATAATGAACTAAAAGACTTACTAAAGAGCTTCTTTTTGTGTTACCAGGACAGTAATTAATTACAGAGAAATCTTTAAACTCAGAAACACCTCTCATTGTTTTTATAAATCACAGCATTAGATTGTCTAGATATATTAATATATGGGTAGTGTAGGCAGTCTTCCCAGTGAAATGAGGTGTTACTGCCTCTGTATTATTTCCTCAAGCTATGATGCTGCCTGAGATTCTTAGACAAGCCATGGTCAAGTTCAAGTCTTTGATAGTGTTAAAAAGTAATAAGCATTCAACATGCATTTCTGTGGTATTTAAATTTTATGTTTATTTAAATTTTCAGATACATTTTCTCATTTCTTTTCATACTACTTCTGTTCAGTCAGTGAGGAAGGTGATAATGTGTAATGTGGTTTTTTTGTTTTTTGTTTTTCTTTACATTAAGAACTGAGACACTGAGTTTTGGGGAGGTTAAAAGATATACTATCCACTCATAAATTTTTGTTCTAATCCCAACTGTATGTATGCATACATTCTAAATTACAGATATATTTGTGAAAGTCAGAAACAGAAGTCATTCACAGAGTTTAAAAGAGAATGTCAGATATTTTTAAATTTGTGTATAGTCTGTTTTTAAAATTTGTGCGCAGATGGATAGAGTTCAATAAACGCTTGAAAAGTAGCCGGGCTTTCAGAAAGAAAGAGAATATGGAATGAGATGAGGCCAAAATGCTGCTCTTGCTTTCCTGAGAGGGAAGAGAAGCATTTCTGGGGCTGTCACTGCTGAAGAATGAATCCTCCAAAGGTGTGCTCAGTGTGCAGAATGCACCAGCATGTTAGCTGCCTGTTCAAAATCTACACTTTTCCCTTACAGTTTATTTTTTCAAAGTTAAATTTAACATTCAGTTGTGGTGACACAGGCCTTTAATCCCAGCACTCAGGAGGCAGAGGCAGTAAAATCTCCATGAGATAGGGGCCAGCCTGCTCTACACAGCTGGGACTACAAGGAGACCCTGTCTTAAAAAGGCCAATAATAAGTGAGTAAATGAGTAAATAAATTTAACATCACTGAAAAAAAGAACATGTTAAAGTTAAGTATATTCAAGGTGTTTCATAAGATGGTATGTTTTGACTCTCACTGCCAGGGCCATAATTGTCTTGTAAATATTTAGATAACTTTCCTGAAATTTCCAGAAATGATCATCATTCTTCATTAATTTGTAGCTGCTTTTTTTCTAAGTAGTGTAAACATCAGCACACAATAAGACTTTTTTCCTTGTTTTTTGAATGATGACAGGTGGATAGCATTTTCCATATGCCACACGTATGCAGTGCCCCACCCCCTGAATGAGAATGTGTAGAAATGCCCCCATTACTCTACCTGACAATGCCAAGCTCTCAGAACGTCTTTGCACTTTAGTGCAGGCTGGTCAATTGAAATTTATAATGGTAGAGAAAAGAGGAATGGCTCTACTGAAATATAATAAACCTGGTGACAAGTAATAGCGACAACACCACAGCCTTATAAATGGGGCAGGTAAAACAGGTTTCAAGTCTTCTCAATGTAGAAAAATTTACACATAATTATCCAGACCCACTCTTTTCCCTGAAAGTTTCTGTGTAAATGACTAGACTAGCAAAGGGAGAGAAGATTTGGCTGAAGGTGCACCTATTCAAAAGGTGACTTCTGCTACAGATGATGTCTCTGGCAGCATATATGACTTGAGTGAAAAAATAAGCAAGCCCAATAACACCTCTGAGTTGCAGAACTATCTACTGATGACTAAATATTGAATTTAGAAAGCCACACCACTCTACCAGTTTCCCATTAGTAGTAGTCAGAGAGGCAACAAAATCCAAGATGACTCATTCTACAGTCTCACAGACTTTTAACAGATTACAATTTGGGGGCTGGAGAGATGGTTCAGCAGTTAAGAGCGCTGACTGCTCTTGCAGAGGACCCAGGTTCGATTTCCAGCACACACATGGCAACTACAAACTGTCCTTAAATCCACTTCTAGGGGAATCCAAAGCCCTCTTCTGACCTATGTGGCATTGCACGACATGGGTACACTCACATACATGTAGGCAATACATTCATACACATAAAAGAAAAATAATGAATGAAATATTTTTTAAAAAGAGATCACAATTCTTCCCTACTTAAAAATGTTTTAAACTTAATCGCAATAATAAAAGGACACATTACAAGGCTGAGGCGATGGTTACTTAGGAAGTTCCTGCAACACAAGCGTGAGGACCTGCTTTCAGATCCCCAGCACCCACTTCAAAAAGTTGGTCATGGTAGCAACTGTAACCATGGTGTTGGGAGAATAGAGATAGGTGGATCCCTGAAGCTCCCTGACCAGCCAGCATAGCTGAAACAGTGAGCTCAGGTTCAGTGAGAGACTTTGCTTCAAAAAATAAGATGGAGAGTGAATGAGGAAAGCACCCAGTGTTAACCTCTAGCCTCCACACACAGTCACATACATGCACGAAAACCTGCATGCACACAGAAAAATATGAAAGAAATAGAGAGAGAAAGACTCTGTGAGATGAAGACCAACCTGGTAGGTAGGTAGGTAGGAAGGAAGGAAGGAAGGAAGGAAGGAAGGAAGGAAGGAAGTTAGGAAGGGAGAGAAAGCCAGGCTTCATGAAACTTACTATTTTAGCTATTTTTAAATATGCATCTTAGCAGCATTAAGTATATTTATGGGCCAGCAAGATGGCTTAGCTGATAAAAGTGTTTGCCACAAAGACTGACACACCCTAGATGGATCCGCAAACCCACATGGTAGAAGAGAAGCAACTTTGATTACCACACATACACTGTGGCGCACACACACACAAATAAATGTAAAAATATAAATGTATTTACATTGTTGGAATTTTAATGCATTTTCTCAAAGCTGGTACTATGCATTTGAAAGAAAACAATTTTTCATCTCCCTATATTTGAGATAGAGAACACAGAAGAGGAGGGTTTTTCATTCAACTTTCACATGTGTGAGCAAACAAGTCTGTTTTAAAACATCCTTTCTGGTTTTCTAATCTATTCACCACAAACCGTTTCAGTAGTCTTCCACAACAGCCAGTCATAAGGGAATGCAATCAAAGGAAACTCAGTAGCTACTAGCATCACACTTTAGCCCTTTCCTGCCCTACCATGTTCTTCAAAAGACTGTTAACAAGATAAAACTCAGTTTGCATAAAGGCATAATCTAAGTAGATCAATAGTCTAGGAAAAATTACGTACTAGCAGTCTACTAATTGTGTATTCTTTGAGGAGTATAAATCATAAAGGAATGTATTTAGGGAGGAAATCCTATGCCATTAAGAAAGTTGTTTCTTACCTTAGAAAGAAAAAATAAAGGTTCATCTCTGTACCCCAGCCGTGTGTAGACAAACACAGGGAGAGCATAACCGTGGGATGTCATGTTGGAGATTCTCATGGATTCACGCACCCGGAATTGTGAGAAGCGCCAAATGTTTTCACTGTTTTCAAAGGATTTCCTGACAGCAACAGCAGGATACAAAGCCGCACTGCTCTGCCACAGCCAAGAGAGCGCGTTGTTCCTCAGGACTTCCCCTTCTGGGCATGACCCAGTATAGTTCAGAGCATAAAGATTATAATTGTGGCAATCAGGATATAAATAATAACCCCAAAGGCCTTTGGGTCGCCTCCTAATTCCCAATTTGATGGTTTCCTCCATGAAAGCTTTTGCACTTTTTTCAAATGCCTCTTTGGCTAAACACTCAATAGCATTAGCTGAAGCATTCTGTTGTATATTAGAAATAAGCATTCTTGACTTCTGTCTGTAGATATTCTTTGTATTCCAGTTCCTGACCCATTGTGGCCGCCAATATTCCCAGTCTATAACAGCAAGTCCGCTGAAATTTTCAGCAGGGATATAGTAATCAATATCTTGGGCAGCTTTTTCCAGATGTACTTGTAAGCTTAAGTTTTGGGGGAGACCCCCATTGATAGGGACTCCTTCTGCTGTATACCACGGATAATATCCCAATCTGTTAACATAAAATATAGTGACATTTTGCCCCCTGGCTTTGGCCAGAGGGCTTCCAATTACCTGAAATACTGCTAAATTCAGTGTTAAATTATATTTTATCAAGCACAGATCTGTTGGAGCATTCCAGGCAGCTATAAAAGGTTTCCTTTGATAAATTGGAAGGTGAGCAGGTTTTAGAGAAGTCATAGATTTCAGAATAAAAAATACAAGCAGCCCTGATGTAAGGTGTACTGGTTGAACAAAACAAAGTCTTAATTGTCCTTCAGATAACAGTTTCATGATAAGATAGAAACTTACGTTATCTCTTCTTTAATGTAATTCGAAAGACCTGTGGAGACATTTCATCTTCTATTAGTGATTACTTTGAATAAAAAAGTATCATTTATTTATATCAGAATGCAACTTATTTAAAAGTTATTATGATTCCTACATAATCATGTGATTTGTGAGATGTCAAATCACATGTAGCAACCAGGCTTCTATTTAAGGACAGGCAATAAAATCAAATAAATGTTCAAGGAGGACCAAACCCTCATGTCAAGGAAAAAGCATGAATAAGATGTGGCCATTGCTCATGGTGAAAAGCAGATGTGAAATAGTATTCAGAATCACTCTGGAAAGCTCACCAAATCTCAGGCACTGTGTTTGGGTGCCCTTTTGGAACAATTGTTATATTGTAACAATGATACAAGGACATACTTACTTTTCCTTTTCCAAAGGAAGACACTGAGACAGAGATGATGTATCTTGATTGAGGTCACATTACATGAAAGATAAGGCACTTTTAGACAATATGCATAGCAAGTACTGCATAAGTAATTAGAGCGGTTGCTTTGGGGGGAGATGAGAGAACAGAGCTGAGTGCAAAGGGTGATTGCTGCAGCAGAGATGTGCCACTCAGGATGATCTCAGATGGTAAGACACAGAGAGGACGGTAAGTACATTGTCACATTTCCCTTTAGTCATGCTTCTAAAACAACTACAAAATAATTATTTTTATATCGCATCACCAAAGATTTAAATAGTATAAAACCTTTGTATTCTTCTATGACAATAAAATGATAGTGCCTTGTGCTTAAGTTTAGCACACTGGTATTAAGATGTATGGAACACAGCTGTTCTTTGACTATGTGCCCACAAAATAGATCACTTTTTCCTTGTTCTGTAGTGAATTTACACCACATGTGTATTGGTGTAAGATGGAGCCCCTACTTCACTAAATAAGTCAAAAGGTTGAAATCCTTCCCCAGGTTTCAGTGCAGCTTTGGAACTGATACTGACTTTGATAACACCAGTTAGATGCATCCTACTCTAGCCTTTGAGTTGAGGTTTGGGGATTCAAAGAGACTAAGGGGTATTGCTAGTAATGACAAAAATTCCAATGTCCAGGGGCTAGGGAGATGGCTCAGTGGGTAAAATGCTGGCTTCACAAGTGTGAGGAACCAAGTACGGATCCTCAGCACCCACGTAAAACCTGGGTATGGTGGCATTCACCTGTAACGCCAGCCCTGGGGGAATGGAGGTAGGTGGGTCCCTGGATCTCACTGGCAGCCACACTAACTAAATTGATGAGTTTCAGGTTCGGGGAGGGTCCTTCTCTCAAAAAGTAAGATGGAGAGAGATAAAGGAAGACACATGACATTGACCTCTGGTCTCCACATGAATTGCACACACACACACACACATAATTTCCAGTGTCCAGAAGTGACAGGGTTTGGGATTATCTAAAGTCCATGGTGCTGCTGTTTACTGCCAATATTGTTCAAGTAATTCAAAACTTTTCTGTTCACATAAGCACCGTTTTGTTTCCATTCCTGACAGCCGGGAACTGTGATAGGATCTTGTTCTATGGAGTCTGTAGCTTTTGAAAATTTCCTGCAGCCAAGCCATCACAGTACTGCACTTTGTGAGTAATTATCATTTTAATGACCAGAGGTCACCAATCAACAATAACATTTCTTAGGCCTAGGATATTGAAGTGAACAAGATTTCTAAGAAACTTATCAAACCATTAAACTACATTTAAGAAGTCCTAAGTAATAAACATATTTTAAATGTCAGTTTTTGTCAACTAGGGCTAGGGGCACACATCTTTAATCCCAGCGCTCTGGAAGCAGAGGCAGGTGAGTTCCAGGCCATCTGGGGCTACAGGGAGACCCCGTTTCAAAGATACTAAAAAAAAAGAGAGAGAGAGAGAGAGACAGTTTTTAAGATATAGAAGCAAGCCATTTCATTCAATGGACAAATATCTACTCTTCCACAGCCCAAAGATGATTAAAATTACTTACTAACATAAAATATACTATACTGAAGGTATGAAATGTGGATTGAAGTCAATAGTTTTTTTTGAAGGAATCTAATTTTGTAAATACAAAAGGAATTATGGTATTCCAAATTGCATTTTATTCTTGATTTTTTTTTTAATTCTGATTCAGGATAAGAAAAATGGATAGGCATATGAGTTCATTAATGGGTTGGGAGAGCTTTTCTTTAAACTTCAAATTCACTTCCTCTTTGAGAAGACTATATGTGTACAAAGCACAGCTAGAGTGTATCTATTCTGCCATGCACTTGTTTCTTTGTTTTATTCAAAGCAAAGCCTTCCACTGTCTGCTGTTTTCCCTCATCAGGCCACAGCACTTCAGAGTTACTACAGAGTTACTGGGTGATTCTTTTATCCTATCGTGGATTATTATTCACCTTACTCCTGTTAACTGGAGGTCCACATTCAACACTAGATGGCAGGCCTTGCCCCTGACAAAACTTTCTAGCACAGGATGAATGCAGCCAAACTAAATAAGTAAAACTGTGCACATGTCTTCTCTGTGTCTTGGGTTTTGAGTGTATCCTCCTAGTCTCCTAATCAAGCATGACTTACAGATCATGGTTCTTTTCTCTTAACAGGCCTCAGACACTCTGTTCAGTCCCCTGCCCCACCAGCAGTCTCAAGCTGTTTTCCTCTCTGGCCTCCTTCCTTTTCCAAGGTACCTGCCCATGCCTGCCCTTCAGCGCCTGACCTTTACTCCAGAATTCCCCAGATCCCCTTTCCCTCCCCTTTTCCATAGTACCACAGCCCCCACTGCTGAGCCCTTCTCTCTATAGACCAGTCCTTTCTTAGCAGAGAATCCTGATTACTACACTTGACCATGAATCTCCCATAGCAACCTGCCTTTGCTTTCTCACCTCCCTCATCTGATGAAGGTCCATTCCTTTAAACAAAATTCTAACTGGCAGAACTGAGGAAGAGTTGGCAACATAGTGAGGGTATGAATCGGTAAGGAGTTTAACCTGGACTGGTCCCCTGAATTTGGTCATCTGTTACTCTCTGCTTAAGAACAAAGCTTGAATGGGAACATATATAGGAACAAGCTCCCTTCCTTCAATCTGGAATCATTTTTGAAGACAATGTGGATGGAAGTCACGCTGAAAAGGGAGCAGCTTTCTCCTCAGATCTCATCCCCTCATATAAGAGACATGACATGTTTCTAGCAGTCCCCAGGCCCTTACCTCTTTGGTTAGCTCTTCCAAATAGTTAAGAAAGTGGGTGAGATGCCCCTTGGGTGGACACAGGTCTGCCAAGTGTAGACTCGAGAGTCTGCATAGAAGCCTCTCCTCTATTCCTGTTTCCTACCACAAGCTCAGTTGTTTGTAATAAAACATACTTAAAATAAAATGGGTAATCTCAGGACTCAGAATCTGCTAAAGTCATGTAGTTCAGCTGTTAGACATGGGTATTCTCACAGGATAGCAATGTTGGGAAAGTTCATTGTCAGACTACATTAAATGAGACAGCCCAAGGCTATCTCTAAATTTTGTCCAAGCACAGGAAAAAAATACAGTGAATATTCAAGCACAAAATACCAAACCCACTTCACTGGGGAATGAATATCCACTAAAGGAATGGCTGCTGTTCTGACTGTTTTGTTTTGTTTTGTTTTTTGTTTTGTTTTGTTTTATTTTGCTTGGAAGTGCTGGAGATCAAACCCTAGGCCTTGCACACGACTACTGCTCTCCACCCAAGTATCTAGTCCCTCTGCCTTCTGATAATCTACAGTCCAGAGTGACCCACTTAGACCCACTCTCAAATCACCCAACTAAAGCCTAAATCCTGAAGTGGGCTCTCTCTGGCATTCTTTCGTCCCAAGACTCCTATAGGTATGAACATATTTTGAATAAGCAAAAAGCCCACCTCTCTTAGCACAAATGTGCCCCTGGTGGTCTTTGGGGCCCCTATGTGAATACAGGGAGACTTAGTATTCACCCCAGAAATATTTTAGTGATCCAGAATGAGCCTGATTGTAAAGCAGCAGGAAGACCATAAAGAAGTTCTTGTTATCCCCCCAAGTCTGAAATGAGAGTGCTTTCAAGGAGTTATTTGTAACAAATTTATAGTATTTTAACAATCACCACATAAAAACAGTGAAACTGCTTCTTTGTTTTTTGGGTGCAGGTGAGGATCAAACCCAGCGCCTTGGGTGTGATAGACAGCACTGTATCCCTGAGCTACATCACCCGCCCTTGTTTATTCTTTTGTTTGTTTTTTGGGTTTAAATTTTGTTTTGCTTCCAATACAAGGTCTTTCTATGTACCCACGATGGCCTTTAACTTGTGGTCCTCCTGTCTCCACTCCCAAATGCGAGAGTTATGGTTTTTCTTAATTTTGATTGCAGCTCTAAATATCTAGCCTTGTATAAACAGAATCATCTCTTCTTTCATCCATGCAGCAAGGATAATGCTCTTTAAGGTTAGAATAATAAGTGGAAAAACTTAAAATCGTACAATCCCCACTCCGTGTTAATGTATTATGGGAAAAAATTGCGTGCTCAAATTGCAATTCTTCTATTTCTTTTTCATGATTTTGGAATTTTTTAAAATGTCTTTTTAAGACATCTAGTTAAATCCATCCAGGTTTAAAGAGATATCTTTAAAGTTCATCATCCCTAAGGAATTCAGCAAATACAGTTTTATTTCCAAACTCACAAAGAAAGTCTTGCTCCATTCTGTTATTTCATTGCCTATAGTAAAATGCATACATAGCTATCAAATTGAAAGAAAAAGCAGAACCACTTATTTCAAAGCCATATCCTCAGTGCAGCAGTACAAGATACAACCTGCTCTCTAATAAAAAGTTTACTATGGCAGCAACCAATAAGGGGCATCCTGATAAATTTTTTCTCATTGAAAGCTCATTGTTCTGTGTTCCATATATATATAGATACATATATTTTATATATATGTATCTTAATATTAGAGATTTTTCAAAGGGTTATATTCCATAAATTTTTTCTTTTAATACTGATTGTGTCATGATACAATCCACTTTGGG